AGGCGTTTTGATAGATATCATTAGCCATTTAGCTGGCTTCGGACTTCACAGAGGGAAGGTTCATCAAAGTAGAAGAAAGTCGAGGGGTGGGGAACAGAAGAGCGATTCACAGATGTAAAAGAGGCAGACAGACACAAAGGTAGAGAAAAAGGTAAGGTGAGTACTGTGGTAGGGGTCGAATATGACAACCAGAGGGGTCGTGGAAGTTTGAAGTGAGAAGTCAAAAGCCAGAAGTCAACTGTCGGTTAATAGACTATTTTGCCGTATAAGTATACGTTGCCCAGGGTGCACCACGTGGAGGTAAGTCTATCGCACACCCCCACGTCATACATAAAGTAATATATAAAGTTAAAAAATCTGACTTTGTGATATCCCCTGTCAGTATTGATGTAAAATGACAGAGTAAATGAAGAACTGCATTTTATCTCATTTCATTAATGATTGCATACGCATTTAACCACTTGAAAGGTTGAGGCCAAAGACAAACGCATAGGAAAGTGGACTTATCCGTGTTGAGCAATTAAGTTCGAAAGTAAGTATCCAGTTTGTTTTCCAGGTTAACTTATGAAGAACAGCAGAATGAATGAATTGAGCATTGATTTTGTTAAACATGATAACAATGTTGTTGTTGAAAGATGACCCACAGAAATTTAAAACAATAAAATGCTCAATTTTACGCTCGAATGAGTGAATTTTGAATTCAAAAGTGAGCTTACAACTTGACATTCGCTGGGAGATTTTCACAGACTTCATTAATTCATATTTTTCATCCTTCTACTCAAAGTTAAAATATATATATACATGTTAAGATTTATTCTAGAATATTCCTTTTTTGTTGAATTTCATATTCATCAAAAATGACTTGAATGCATGTTTTACGGAAATCATTTTGCTCTTATCTGCTCTGAATGTATTTATTTATAATAAATAGTAGGTGTTTTGATAGTTATCATTAGCCCCTTAGTTGACTTCAGACTTCACAGAGGGGAAGGAATATCAAAGTGGCAAAAAGTCGAGTGATGTGGAGAACGAAAGAGTAATTCACAGATAGTAAAGAGATAGACAGACACAATGGTAGAGTAAAAGGTGAGGTGAGTACTGTGGAAGTGGACCAATATGGCATTCATTGGGGTGATGGCAGCCTGAAGACAGAAGTCAACTACCGGTTAATAGACTACTTTGTCGTATGAGTATACAATGCCCAGGGTGCACCACGTGGAGGTAAGTCTATCGCACACAAACTGCCAGTTTATAGACTTTTTTGCAGCATGAATATACGTTGCCCAGGATGCACCACGTGGAGGTAAGTCTATCGCACACCCGCATTGCAATAGAAGAATAAGAGTTTTACCGCGATGACGAAGTAAACGAGAAGAAACTAACTAGGCAAGAACTCAGCTAGTTTTCTCTGCAGCCCGACTGGAGCCAACTAGACATCGCCGAACTCAATTATAAAATAATATTACGCAGGCTTCATAGAAAAAAGGACTTGACTCCTATACATATCCACCAGAATTCAAGTGTGAAGACCCAAACAACTTCAATCAGTACTCACCTTGACCCAATCTTCACCATCGCCAGTTCCAAGTAGTACGACCTTCTCATTGCATACCAGATTAATTTCATCGTTTCTCGAAGCCAGAAATTCATACATGGCGGTGGCTTTGGGTAAACGACCTTCCTCGGACCAATCAACTTCCAGAGAAGGGGGATTCTGTGTCTGGAGGCATTTGGTGGATTCCACATCATCATCCAACTGAATAAATGCTGGCTCAAAGTTCGATCCAGATGAATTCGTAGAGGTAGCTAAGCAAGAGGTGGAACACACCATTGATTAAGAGGTATACACAATCTGTGCGCACGAGCTAGCAGTTGAATTACAAAAAAACAATATATCAGCATTTTAAGAACAAAAACCTATATTAGCGTTGTTTACTAAACAAATCATGGCAAAAAAATAACCACTGAGTGAATATTTACAGTGCAGTAAGATGCAAAAAAACTCCCTTTAAAACTAGACACTTGATTGGTTCATCAGCGCGATTTGGATAAAGATCATGCGAATGAAGTGGGTTTCTAAATCTAAACTACATCAATACGGGGAGAGTTTGGGTAATAGGTAACTGAGAAGCTACCAATTTGGCAACGCATTTATAGAACTCTATGCAATCACTGCAGATGGTGAATGAAGAGGCACAACGCTTAAAGCGAACTTCAAGCACAAAATGATGCGCGCTGTCACGTTTCGTCTGTTCAAACAAAAAGGAAAGAAAAAAACCAAGACTGAGTAGAATGACATTCCCAGCCTCAACCCATTCACAAACCATTTCCCAAAATCAGCAATACACATTACAGTAAAAAATGTCGAGGTTATTTCAAGCACGCCTTATCGGAATACCTCGAGACATTTAGGAACGGTGGCTTTTAAATTTTTTATAGTTGAGCAGAAATGCAAAACCGCGCGAAATGCATAAGACTTGGAAAAAAATTAAAAAAAACGTTCAAAACCACGTGCGTGCGTGTGTGCGTGAGAGGGAGAGTGTGTGGGATCATTGTGCTTCAAATGAAATGAAAAAAAATAGGAATTGCAACATAAAGTGCCATCCCTTCAACCTGGAATATAATATCTGCCAAATAACAATAGATAGCAATTTATCAACTATTAATTTTTAAACAAAAGGAAATTGACCGTTGAATCGTCAATTTATCAAACTGAAATTGAAATTAGACAGGAAAAAAAAATTACTTGCCAAATTCATAAACGAGGAGCCCGTAATTTAATAAAAATCGTGTGTTATAATATATTAAGTTATAATTCCTAAAACCACTGAGGCAATAAACAAAGTGCAGATTGTTGGCCACGAAATTGGAAGGGAAAAATCGATAACAATTTCATCAAAATCGAAATCTTTACAATCATTTAAAAAAAAACAAAGTATTCGGGTGTTTTCAACTATTCACTCGGATACCATGAAAGTAAATTTGAAATGCCCAAAAGACCTTTCGAAATAACTTGTTTAAATATTTTTTCAATCCCAAAATCAAATCTAATCACAAGTAGATCAAAGTATGCCCCCCCCCACACTCCTAGGGCTAAACACCACGTTTATGATGAAAGAAATTTAATAAAAAAAAGAGAGGAATAACCGAATGAAATAAGAGGGAGAGAGGAGAGGGAGGGGTTACAGCGTGCGTAATTAGGTGAGAGTAGTTAGGGCGAGGAGACGGTGAGTGTAATTGAAGTAGGAAGTTGATTGGCCAGGAAAAGACTGCTCAAACGAATAACAATAATACACCAGGGAATAGAGGCTATTTTTAGACACTAGGAGGGG